GGGCCATTACATAAACTATGTCAACACGTTCACTCTATGCCTATGAGACATTAGAAAGTCATGTATGTTAATCATGACATATACTTATGATATCTATGTACACCATGATATTATGCAAACTCTTTTTCATCGGCAAGATATTAGCTTAAGGGCAAATTGGGGGTATGTATGCAAGCCCACCTAGTGGGTCCATGTACTCATGTGTGAGCTGTGTGTAGAGACGTACGACACATCCAACCCCATACTAAAAAATAGAATTGAAGACCATAATATTTTTATGAAAAGAAAGGTCCTACCATGATTACATGTGATTGCATTTTTTGACCTTAACAGTGGGGCTACCTATTGTTTTAAATATTCAACCCATGTACTACATTTTTAAACCCTAAATGCCCTAGAAAGAAATTTTATGAGATTGAAGCAAAGCATGGATATTAACGAGGTGAAGTACATCCATTAATGGAGTTTTATGACTTTAGTGAACCAAATAATGTGATATGTTTCCTATGTTAATGATGTTATTATAATTATAAGTTAGGCTTAATAATGATGCCTAAACATTTGATCATGGCAAACATCATAATAATCTCCTTTGATTAAACACAAACAACAAACAAAAAGAGGTTTATTGTCAATTTTGATTATATATTCCAACCAACAATTGACACCATCATTTCAAAGTTTTAGATAAGGCTACCATCAACTAAGGATCAAGAAATAGGACATACCTAACGGGACATTTAGGAGTCAATATGGACATTACGAGTTCACGATCATGTCCTTCGATCTGACCAACGTCTCAGACTCTGGGTATTCAAGGATTTCTTTGACATGTTCGTGATTGTCTTCATTAATAATATACTAATCTACTCTAAGACCGAATAAGAGCACAGGTACCACCTAAGGAAGGTACTATCAATGTTAGGGGCTCATAAGTTGTTTACCAAATACTAATGTGAGTTTTGACTTTCCTTGAGTACATCGTGTCTAGAGAATATTTTCTCCAAAATTGTGTAATTCCAACCCCATGTCACGTGAGAGTAGACCTAGGACCTATAAGGAACTACCACGAGACCATCCAACAACGCTATTGTGTGGGTAAAGGAAAAGTAAAGAGCTATTCAACCATGCCTTGAATTTTAGAAGTTGCACTAAAACTCAAGAACAAGGCTTCGATTTTCTAGGTATCGAACATACCATCTTTGGGCTTACAGAGCACCGGACACCTAAAGAACTTATACCACCATCGTTTACCCAAGAGTATAGCCAAGTCAAATGGGATGACAGGCCTTCTAGAGATAGAACGATGAACTTACGACCTATGCATTAACGCTAAGAGTATACCCAAGTCAAATTGGTTGAACTTTAGGCAATGCACAACCATGACCCCAAGTTTAATATGACAGCCCTAAGTTATCCTAGACCTCCCACCTATTCGATACATCATGATCTCACGTTTTTCTCATCTCAATTGGTAAGATGCCCTACTCTTAATAGCAGGATGTCAGATTTGACTATGTCACAGGGGATGTAGGAGAATGCAGTGTTGATAGACGTCAAATCCAAATTTCGAAACCTAGACATATATTTTATCAAATTCATATTGTTAGTACCAATCACATGACCTAGCGGTCTATCTAGGATAGTATATCAGGTTTGGTATTTAAAGGTTTATATTATGTGTGGAAAATGATGTAGGTTGTCTGATTGATTCACAATCTTTAGACTTGTCTGGAGAGGGACGAGTTTTACTACATTTTCGTAACTTTTTCATGTCAGTCCACGTCGCACTTCCATACAATTTAGAAATTAGGTCATGACATATCTGATCTCGACCGAAAAACTCTTTAATATATTTTGTGTTAAGAAAACTCTTTGTTATGTAACGACCCTATTTTTCTATTTAGAGTCGTTACCACATGCATGACGTGACTTTTTTATGCAAAAAAAAAATATTTATTTAAAATAATTTATAAAACCATAGCAATAAAATCCTTAAAACAAAACTCAAAATAAACAATGAGAAATATAAATAAATAAAACAAAAGATAAAAATGAAGCCTGAATCTAATCTAAGAGCTATAAAATAAACAAAATGCAACTATCCTAACACAAGTTTCATGGTTTTCATTACAACGCAACGCTGCTGGCCTTGAATTTACCATAAATATAAGAATAACATAAGCCTTGAGTATTTTAAGAAATACTTAGTAAGTGACCACAGTATTGGGGTCGGGGAATGCAAACACATATAGAATGATGGGACCTATCATTTAAAACCGTCTCCTCTTAGACGACTTTCCAGTTAGGGTAAATTGGATGTGTAGTACTTCTCTACACACAACCCACGTGTGCGAGTATGGGCCCACCTGGCAGGCTCGTATACCCACTAGACTTGATGGTTGGGCTACCTTCTCTGGGCTATTGCTGGACATCCGGAGGGAATAGTGATCGTCGTTGCCTCATGATAAACATGATGATCATTTCAATCTCATAGTGTACGCATCTGTACCCATTATACAGCGGAAGTATCTTGATGCACGTGGACATACAATTATACATGAGGGACCTCATATTTTCCATTGTAATAAATCATGCAAGACAACCCTATTCTTTCCTCACATAGTACACTCGGCAATATACGTACATAAACTCTTATAAAATCATTTCATTTATAACATAAATTTCAAATCATGGCATAGGGATTTTGCATCATAAATTTCCTTCTTTCAAAACATATCATAACATGACATAGTCTATCATGTCCTAACATAACATATCATAGTACATCACGACATATCATAACATAGCATAAGTTATCGTAACATAACATGACATTTCATTTATACCATAATGTTATTTGGCATATCATATGACGATTCATATCATAACATCACATATCAAGCATATCACACATATGACACGTGCAGGGCCATTAAGCACGTGTTATCATATATAAAACAATTCTTCCAACCAAACTGATAGTAGAGTCACTTACTTAGTTGACCTAGGTCGAAGCTACTACGACTCTTTAATGCTAGCTTAGGGCTGTTCTCTAAAATTTAATTTTACTTAATAGTTTCACCATCATAAATCAGAATTATAATATGGAAATTAACTCACTTGCATTAGTTAAAAGGTAGTCATACTAAGCTTTAAATATTTTCGAAGAGTTGAAATTAGTTGAGAAGGGTCCAAGCGTATTAGACCCAAGTTGGATAAGTCGAAATGTCGACTTGGAATCGTGAGAAAATGTGTTCTCTGACTGGCTTTGAACCGCTCGAGTGGGATGAAAGGAAGACCAATGAACCTCCCTTTTACCGTAGAGTCCAACTCCCCATTTTCTCAACGTCTCAACTTTCATTTTTTTTTCTTTTTTTCTTATTTAGGTTATTACATGTTATGGGATTGAAATTGATTGTCTTATTAGTTTTCTTTGTTTACATGTATGTTCTTCCAAAGGTTATTTTTAAAGGGTACTCGAAGTCTCGTATTTAAGTAACGATCTTGATCAGTAGGTGTGTGATATCACAATTAGAGTTTAATACCAAATAAAAACAAAGAGAAAACGTTTCAAACGAGTAAAACATAATTTAGTAATTTAAACTTAATGACATAGATAAATAAGACAATGGATTAGTTAAAAAAAAACATTCACAACCACACATGGACCTTTCCCTTAATGGAATCAACATCATACAAAAACTCTAAAGAGATAAAGTTAAAAAAAAAAAAAGCAAAACCATGTGACAATGCAATCAAATTTAATGAATTTGATAACTTAGAAACGAATAAAATTAATTGCATTGTGGTCCTTCAACACCATTGCATTTCTCAACCAAATTAAGGGCAGTGCCCTAGAAAGACAGAGGAACCTCCAACGCTAAGGACAAAGTTTAGGGCACCTGCCCTATGCACATGCCAATCCCCATTCTAATTATTATTATTATTTTTGTATAATATAATCTTCAATATTTTTAATTACATTATGTTATAATGTTTATTTTTATTTAGGGATTGATGCCCCCATCATAAATTAATTGATTGATATCAAAATAAATCTTTATAATAAGCTCTCCCACCAAAAATGGATACAATTATGTCAAAATTATGGATGGAGTTAATGAAATAAAGACAAATCTTTATAATACTCTAAATATTTCTTCATAAATATATTGAAATAGTAAGGTCGTTGAGGAGGATTTATAATGTGTATTATTTTGAGTAATAACTAGAAAACATTAATTGTTGATGAATGGTCTATTATTTTTTTATGTTTATATATATATATATATATATATATATATATATATATATAAAGAAAATGGGTTTTTTAGGGCGTTCATATGACCCGATAACCCAATTAACCCAGTCTATTGAACCATAAATATTGGGTTGGGTTAGATTTTTTTCGATATGGGTTTTATTGAATTTTTTAAAAATCGAAAATTCAAGTCGGGTTAGCTGGTCTAGTCAATTTGACTAACTTAAAATGAGGGTGACAACAACCCTACCCTACTTTTAATATGAAGATTAAAAATATTTGACATGTTGATATATTTGTGACTTGTGAAGGTTAGATATCTCGATTTTATTATATTTTAGTTATAAATGTAACTTATAAGGTAAATAAGTATGATATTTTTAAATAATTAAAAAGATTAAAAAAAACCCAACAATCCAACCTAACTAAAACTGGAAATAGAAGGTTGGGTTGTAAACTCTATTCGGGTTGGTTGGATTATTAACTCAACCAACTCGAAATTTTGGGTTGGTGCAAAAGATTTTTCGAACCTAACCTATCAACCTCTAATACAATTAATAACGTCGATAACAAAAGAATAAACATAAGAATGAAGATTCAAACTTTCGATACCCGAGAAAAAAAAAAAAAAGGGTAATAAAGGTATGAATAGGTGTAAAAGGACCAAAAACACAGACCATTCATTTCTGTGTCTCTCTCAAAATCCTTGAAAGGGTTGGCCTTTTGGATCTGAAACTCCACTGTTGTCCATACAAATCTCTCTCTCTCTCTCTCTCTGTCTGTCTGTGTGTCTGTCTGTGTTCGATGTTTGAGATTTCGGGGATTACTATGTTGGTTTGAGAGGCTGAAGCTGCCAGCATGATCTGAAGGAAAGGGGTTGTTATGAGTTCAGATCATCTTGCAGCTTCAATCACTCATTCACCAACAAATTCATCAGCTTAGGGTTTCCATTTACAACACTTTCTTCATTTCAGGTACACATCATGTTCCATTTATAAACCTAGTTTTATACGTTAATCCTTTGTTTATACTTTATGTGAGATTTCACGTCGGTTGGAGAGGAAAACGAAGCATTGGTGTGGAAACCTCTTCCTAGCAGATCCGTTTTAAAAATTTTGAGGAAAAACTCGAAAAAAAAAGTCCAAAAAGAACAACATGTCTGCTAGCGGTGAATTTGAGTTATATTGGTAGGTGGGTTTGGTGGATTCAAATGTGTATTTGAAAAGGTAGTTAAGCTATTTGTTTCAGTGGATGATTTCCAGCCGAATCTTGCTTCTTTGCTACTAAATCCTTTAAGATGTATGAACCTAAACCTAAACCTGAACCCGTGTTTTAATGGTCCTTGAATAGTTTTCACGTCTCTAGAGAAAGCGTGAGACATATGAAATCGAAGTCAATATCGTACATAAACCTCTTGAGCTTATTTGATACTAAAATTCAAGTTTAAGACGTCAGAAACTGAACACGTGCTTCAATTTCTCTTGAACAGTTTTCATGTCTCTCCGAAGATTCGTGAAATGGAAGTCCATATAAATCATTTTGTTAATTCTATCTAATTTCATTGGTACTAAATTCAAGTTTAAAATTACTTAATTTGAACTTGTTCGTGCTTCAATTACTCTGAAATAGTTTTCACATCTCTGAAACAAATGTTTGATTGCAGAGGAGAACAAATTATTCCATATAAGAGTGTGGAAACTTCTCTCTAGTAGACACGTTAAAAAAATCTTGAGAGGAATCCCGAAAGAGAAATCCCTAAGAGGACAATATCAACACTAAAAGTAGGCTTAGACTGTTACACAATATAATCCTCCTTACCTCTCCCAAGCTTATTTGATATTAGATTCATGTTTAAGATGTGAACTCGTCCTTTAATTACTCTTGATTAGCTTTTAATGTAACAAGAAAATACGAGATATATGAAATGGAAGTCAATGCGGTCTTTTCTCTCTATAGAAGTTGTTTTCACACATTTACACCATGCACGTCTGGTCTAAATTGTCTCAGCTTTGCAGCAGCAACCACACTCCACAAATCAAATTAGCTCGTAAATTCTAAACCTTTAGTCTTACAACGTCTGTCTAATTTATGTTTGAATACGATTTTGACCCGGTCAACATTTTACTGAACTCATGGATATTTCATAAACAAGTTTGAATTTTGTGTCGTAAAAGTCATGTTTTACCCTCGATGAACACACCGTTTAGAAACTAAACTTGTAATTTAAGTTTATTGTTTTGTATTTTTAAAAATAAATGAAAAGAGAAACCATATTAATTAATTAAGGTATATCTCTTTGGTACTTTGTAATTGGACAATTTGTTTTTATTAATTGTCGTTCACATGTCAAATAAAGCTGAAGAATTTAAAATGTCGAGATGAGATGTCGATGTCGGGGTCGATGCCAACCTCGATATCAACATTGATGGATGTCTATATTTTCAAACTTAAATGTGTTGTTCTATACGTGTTTTTTAATTAGAAATCCAAATTAAAAAATTTCGAGATTTTAAATTTTCTCACACTCGAACAAAGCTAAAAAATACAGACCCGATCATTGAAACTTTGGCTTTATAAACGATAAATGTATCAAACCATCTTTAATATTTTAGTTAACTTTTAATTTGATTAATAATCTTTAAAAATTTTTAATTCATCCTCAACTTAAATATAGTTGAATGGACTTAAAATATAAAATTAGTATTTAAAATATTAATAGCTAAATTATAAATAAATAAATAAATCAGGGGTAATTTAGTAAATTTGTGGACATATTTGATTTTTCCTGAAAAGGAGGGCTCATTTTATACCCTAACTAATTTTGCAGAAACCTTTTCTCTTCCCTTTCTAATGGTGTGGGGCCCTACAAAGGGAAAGAGAGATGGTACCAACCGGCAAAGCTCCGATCGGCGGTGACGGCGGCTGCGAGCGGCTGGAGCAGGCTCTCCGAGATTGTCACAAGCGACTACCAGAAGGTCCGGCGCGGCGGTCGGGCTGCTGGCACCTGAACCGATCTTTTGCGGAGTGCTTGGTGGCGACGGTGTGCCCTAACGAGGCGGAGGCGGTGCGAACTCTCTGCTCCAGCGGCGGAACCGCTCTGAAGAGATCGCAATGCGAGGAAGCTAAGTTTTCGTTCTCTTTATGTCTCTCTTCTCTCCAATTGTGAAATCATTCTAGATCCCTGAATTGAACGCCGTGGGAGATTGAATGGGAATCGGCGAAGCTTTTTGAATTGAGATTTTGTAGATCGCAATAATGTTCTTTTGATGTTCATAATAATGTAATTGACGTAATTATAGATGTAAATCGATCAGAAGTTGAGTTGTTGCTGCAATTCGACGCTAACTTACAAATTAAATTAAAGTTTGTTCTTAATTTCTGGGTTAGAATTAGTCTCGAATCCTGGACATGGAGTAAATCTAGAGATTCTGAATCCTGAACATGAAGTAAATCTAGATTTTGAATTCTGGACATAGAGTACCATTATGTCATTCAACAAAATTTATTTCTATTTTTAAAATTATTTGTGCTATATGTTAGTAGCATATTAAAAACACAATTCACGAATATGCATCGACAACAATTCAAATGTAATTTTATTGAATTTCAAATAAGTTCAACTTAGACAGAAACCAGGTTACAAAGTAACAAACACAGACACAACAAATCTCGTAGTGGCTAAACCATTTCTACTTCTACGAGATTGTAAGCTCAAACCTTTCGTCTTACGTGTGATGTCGTATTATCAAAAAACGCAGAACTTGAAACGAACCTATCTTTTATGTTTAATCTCTACCATAAAATACAAGCACACAAATTTTTTGTGACAGATATAGCATTTACAATGCAAAACTATGAGGAAAATCTATGCCTATCATGAGGAGAAGTATAATCAATATTGGGGCCAAGAGGAATGATGCCAAATGGATTGATTTGAGGATGGCTTCCATAATAATGCTTCTTTATGTGTTCCATATGAACAGAGCTGCTTACCCCTTTAGTTTGGTATATATCCTTGGTGTAATTGAACAGATTTGGATACTCTCGTAGCAGTTTCTTATTACATTTGAAGTGAACTGCATAAACCTAAACAAAAAAGAAAGAAATATCGATCAGTGAAGTCGAAAAATTAAAAACGTTCTTAACAGGTTCGGTTGATGTCAGTACCTCGTCGAATCTTATGATGGTGACAAACAGCCGAACATCTGCTTCGGACAGTGTGTTCCCACAGAGGTAACGTTGCTTGGAAAGTATGTCCTCACATCTGTCCAGAGCTTCATACAACTCTTTCACAGCCTGTAGAAGGATGTTTCATCAGTATCTATATCTTCAGTTTGTGGATTTTAGTAAGGGTGTTCATCCTCCGGGTTGGATTCAATCAGGGGAGATTTTCAATTCAAAATAAGTATTTGACTTGTAAATTCGACCAACTTAAATGGTTCCAAGTAGCTGCTCGATCTAACTCATTATAACTAAAATAAAACTTGAATCAACGAATCGTTGGGAATGTTTCGGAGTACAAAAGTATCTACAAGAAATGCATAAGTAACTATCATAAGAAAAATTAATATATTTGCGTTGGATCAATTCAATCACAAATTATTTAAATGGTACAATCTAACGCCCACTACTAGCAGATATTGTCTTTTTTGGGCTTTTCCTTTCGGACTTCCCCTTAAGGTTTTTAAAACACATCGGCTAGGGAGAGGTTTCCACACCCTTGGAAAGAATGTTTCGTTCTCCTCTCCAATCGACGTGGGATCTCATAATCCACCCCATTCGAGGGTCCAGCGTCCTCACTGGCACTCATTCCCTTCTCCAATCGGTGTAGGACCCCCCAAATCCACCCTTTTGGGGCCCAACGTCCTTGCTGACACACCGCCTCGTGTCCACTCCCCTTCGGGGCTCAACTTCCTCGCGTGCACATCGCCCGATTTCTGGCTCTGATACAATTTGTAACACACCAAGCCCACCACTAGTAGATACTATCCTCTTTGGACATTCCCTTTCGGGCTTCCTCTCAAGGTTTTAAAAACGTGTCTGGAAGGGAGAGGTTTCTACACCCTTATAAAGAATGCTTTGTTTTCCTCTCCAACTGATCTGGGATCTCACAATCCGCCCCCTTTTGGGGTCCAGCCTTATAAAGAATGCTTTGTTCTCCTCTCCAACCGATGTGGGATTTCACAATCTACCCCTTCGGTCAGATTGATTGGGTTTGGGTTTACAGAAAATCAGATTTTATTTTTACACTCTAAATTGTCAGCTGCTATACTGAATTGCTTACCTGGTCATAAGGCTGTTGCATCCTTGCAAAACCACACTTATAGACACCATTGTTAATGGCATCGTATATCCATCCATTAGTCTCGTCAATTTGGGCTTGCAAGTGAGAAGGATACAGATCTAGAGCTGGATTCTCTGCTATATCATTGAATTCAGTATTAAGCATACGAATTATCTCTGAGCTCTCATTGTTAACAATGGTTTTCAGTTTCTTGTCCCATAGAACCTGTCATGAAGAACACACTAAGAGGACTGCATAACATTAAAACATCTACTTATAAGCTCAAATTACATTCATAGCCATGGCTGAAACTTACAGGAACTGTGTACTTTCCAGTGTAATTTGAACTAGCACGTTCATACAGATCTCTTACACTTTTAGCTCCATTCAAATGGTCAGGTTCAGCCCCAGGCTCCTCTGCATCAGAACCAGGAAAAACCCATCCCCTATGATCATCAGTGTCCTTGGTTCTTTCCCAAATTGGTTTGACTGACTGAGAAAGAAACAGTTTGAGGCAAAGAAGAGCAATATTGTTTTTCAGTAAAAAAAAACATGGATTCATTTAGCTATGGAAATAAAATATCTACCGAGAAACTGATCGCCTTTTCGAGTCCTTTGATCTTCAAATATGCAAGGCATCTGGAAGCCCAAGGACAAGCATATGAAATGTAAAGATGATATCTCCCTGATTCTGCTGGAAATTGGGAAGATTGATCTCGTGAAATCAAATTGCGAAATGTCGAAGCTGTTCTTACAAAAGCGCCAGTTGTAGACATTTCATCTAGGGCAGATCGTGCCATTTTGCAGAAAAACCTGAAGGAAATCTCCACAATTATATTTGTAAACTGAGAGAATGGAAATCGAAGTGCATAAAACCTAGGGACATCATCATTTGCTCTCAGCTCAACTGTGCAAGAGCAAACCAATCACTCAAAATTTTCAAATTCATGTCCATTTTCCTTCTTTTATCGTCGATCTCATTCGGATCCAACACAAGAAAACTAGAAATGATCACAGTAGAAAGTCGAAATCAACGTAAAATGGACCGACCAGATCAACCAAGAGATAGAAATCAATTCTGTAATCCAACAAAACAAATACGTGATATTAATCACTAAATCGGCGATCATACTTCAGAAGATAACAATCGAATCACGCAAACAAGAGACAGCCGCCGGGCGAATGATTGAAAAGGTCAAATTCAGAGAATTCAGTTCAAAACGACGATCTTGGAAACATGAGGAATTGAAAAGATAAGAATAATCAGAGAGTTAAGGATCACCTTAGAGATGTAAAACAGTGATTCGAAAGACGAAGAGGACGAAGAGGACGAAGAGGACGAAGAGTTCTTTGAGGCGACGGGAGTGCAGAAAGCATTCAGAAAGCTAGGAGTCGATTACCTTTATTTTCGTTTTTCTCTTCCTTTTGTCTATTTCTTGGCTTTCTTTTTACTTTATTTATTTATTATTATTTAAACTACTAAATTAATAAAAAAAAAAATAAATAATAATACCTTTACCCACTACAAAATAAAATTAAATTAAAAAAATAATAATAAATCTAACAGCTAGTTTATATATATATAAATGGTTAATATTTACTTTAATAATATATTTAAATAGTTATTTAAAAAATACCTTTAATATTAAAAACTTTCATTAATATCTTTCCCCTTTAGCTTTTATAAAAAAAATTTCAATTTTTTTTTCCATTAATATATAAACGAAAATTATTCATCTTTGAATAATGTACAGTAAATTGTTTTTATTAGGGAAAAAGAGTATGACGTGTTTGTTCCACCAACTCCATTGTTTTAGTTAGCAAAAAAATTTGAGTGTAGAAAGCATTTAAAGCACGAGAAATCACTTGACATGTATGGTATATATCCCTTACGAAAACGAGTTATAAGTAGGAAAATCATTTAGTATACAGAAACATAGAGAGACATCAAACGTCTAAAATTTCTTTCTACTCTCTTATCTTCTCTACATTATTTTCTTTTTCTCCTCCTCCAAGCTTACCCCACCATGGCTCGAGACCCATTTTCAATATATTCCTCGTTTATTTTTTAATTTTAAAATCAACTACAATGCTTTTTTAGTTTAGAAGATCGAATAAGATACCTTTTCAAGTATATAGATCGCGAAGGAAATATGATAAAAGAAATCAAATCAAGAGTTTCTAAGTCCAACAAAATCATGTATCATTCAAGTGTTCAGGAGTTGGTTAGCCAATACCTTTTGATATTCTCTCCGTCAAATCAGAAACAAGAGCATATTTGTTGCTCTCACAACAAGCAGTCATGAATGCAGCCAAACTCACTCGATCGACATTCACTTCCTTATCAAGTAACTTATGAAAGAAGAGAGCTGCCATGCCGACTTTCTTCTCGCTACAAAGCTTGCGTATTAGCGTATGGACCGTGCGTATCCAAAGCTTCTTGTCGAGCCGTTCCAAGATAACCATGGCTGAAGCAAACTCTTCTGTTTTGCAATACTCATAAGCTAAGGTCACCCGAGTAACCTCGCACGGAGTCAGCCCATTGTCTATCATGACATCATATAATTGTCGAGCCTCGTCCAACCTCGACTCTTTGCAAAGACCACTGATTAAAGCACCATAACTAATGCTATCAGGTGCACAACCATGGACATTCATCCGCTGGAAAAACTTGACTGCTAAGTCAATTTTTCTTTCCCTACAATAGCCACAAATCATGGATGTGTAAGTTTCCTTTGTCGGAACGAACCCAAGCTTAACGACTTCATCGAACAACTTCTCACTATCGTTCATCATTTTCTGCCTGCAGAAGGCAGAGATCAAAGTGGTATACAAATGGACATCAGGCTGGAAACCAACTTTAAGCATCTTAGTTAAAAACATAAGGGCTCGATTCAAATCGGCATGTTTACACTGTTCAGATATCAGAATATTGTACGTGACAGCGTCGGCTTCGACTCGATTCCGACACCCTTTATTTAGCAATTTGAAAGCCTCTTCAACTCTCCCTTTTTTACAGAGACCATCAACAATTGCATTGTAAGTACATA